TTTATTTTGCTGTTTTCTAATCACAATTAGGTCATTTGTTCGGTATTAGCAGTAGTTTGTGTGGTTTATTTTGCTGTTTTCTAATCACAATTAGGTCATTTGTTCGGTATTAGCAGTAGTTTGTGTGGTTTATTTTGCTGTTTTCTAATCACAATTAGGTCATTTGTTCGGTATTTGCAGTAGTTTGTGTGGTTTGTGGTTTACTTTGTTGTTTTCGAAATGCGATTAGGTCATGGTTAGTAGAAGGTCAACATTTGAAGTTCAAATCTGTGCCATGCTTTACTGACCGATGAAATGTTTGGGTTTTTTTGTCACTCTGGATTTGTGCATCATGGATTCTGTGGTGTAGCAGATAGTCTCTTCGCTGTTGCATGCATATGACCCGTGTTCAATTCTCGTGTGTGGTTTGTTGGCGGGTGCTCTGGTGTGGTCTGCCTCTTCTTTCCGATCAACCATCTATCGTCTTTATCTCCCCTCCTTCTTTTTTGTGTTTGTTGCTCTCTTGTAACACCTCTAGTCTTCGGCACTTATATGAACTTATTGTGTTGCAAGTGCCGTAAAACTCTCACTAAAACAAACTCAGTTCCCATGTGGGGAGAAATTTTTCCTTTGAGCGTCTCTTTTTGTCTGTCTGCTGGGACGTTGCATCCCTCTCAGCCCGCGGCGGACCGGATGAGGCAGGCAGGGTCGGAACCCGTCTCTCACGTGTGATCTAAATTGTATCGAATGGGACGCAAAACCATGATCTAGTATAATGACAATGTTTGTTCGACTCTGCCCAGATTCGTCGTGGCTGGTGGGGCTGCAGCAGCCCGCTTCCTATATGGTCGCTTTTAAGCACAAGAGGGCTATCCCGAAAAAAAAATTTGGGGGAGAAAATCAAAGTTAAAAGTTTTTGGATTCTTATTCAGTCTCTTTAAAAGACGAGGAGAATTTTCTTTATAACCAAACAAATATAGAGTTTTCTTTATAAACAAACAAATATACACACCGATGAAACCAAACTTCTCCTATAGGTAGGGCCATGCCCACTTTTGGTGTAGGTCAAGGTTTCTGGAAACCCCCTGAAATCTGGGTTAGTCCGCATGACCTTAAAAGCGACCAAATGTTCTAGGTTGTGTTTTGTCAGTATGTTGAGGAAATACGTCCGCCGTCGGCCGGCCCACGGGTTTTACCGCTAGCTTTAAACTTTGTAGAATGTCTGGTGTATGGGTGGTTGGCGGCTGCTCTGGTGTGGTTTGCTGCTGCCTTTCCATCAAACATCTATTGCCGTGAGGTCATGGTTAGTAGAAGGTCAACATTTGAAGTTCAAATCTGTGCCATGCTTTACTGGCCGCTGAAATGTTGTTTTAATCACGCTGGATTCGTTCACGCAGAGTCTGTGGTGTAGCAGATAGTCTCTTCGCTGTTGCATGCATATATGAACCCTGTTCAATTCCCAGGTCTCTTTTCCTTGATATTAGCTCGGGAGACTCCTCTTAAATGACCTGCCAGTGTTGATAGAAGCATTGAACCCATATACTTAATTTTCTTCTATTTTCTCAAAGCTTTTTTTAAAAAAAAATTCCGCAACACAATAAGGTCTTCATATAAGCGCTGAAGTTTAGAGATGTTACAAGAGAGTAACAACCGCATACGAGAAGGAGGAGAGATGAGGATGCTAGATGTTTGATAGGAAGGAAAGAGCAAACCACACCAGAGCACTCTCCAATCACCCACTGTATTTGTGTAGGTGTGTGTGTGTGTGTGTGTGTGCGTGTGTGTGTGTGTGTGTGTGTGTGTGTGTGTGTGTGCGCGTCCCAGAAGGGAAATCGGAGGACGGACTGAAAAAAAAGTGCCAAGATTTTATTCTGACTTTCGTGGTTGTGGTTTGTTTTTTCTTTTTTTTCTTCTC